AATATAAGCTTCAAATATCGGGAAAAAATGCAATACAGGTCACAACCTAAGAATATATATAAACTAAGTAACTGTGTTTGTTAGGATACTTTGCATGACTGAATTTAGATTATTTTTCTTTTCGAAAAAGTCAGCAGCTGTGAGATGATGGGCAGCAGTGTCGGCAACCGAATTTCCAGAAACGAAATCCTCCACTTAATCCTCCACTTGTGACTCGAGTGTTGTTGTGGTTCGTAGTAGTGGGCCGTGTCTCTTTAAATAAATGCGGGTTACGTAGTGCCTTCATGAATGAAACCATGTGATCCAAACATCATTTGACGTCTCTCGCCTGTGCCAGACCGAAACAAGCGAGGAAGGAGTGGATAGAGCACACAGACGGTGCCACAAGGCGTCAAGCGAAGGAGAGGCGCCAGTCGTTGCTCCGTCCTTCTCGCCCCGCAACCACTTGAGCACCTCCAACCGTCGGCCAACGCCGGCCATCGAAGGTCGGGGGCGGACGGACGGCGCCGGTCCGGTTTCCACTTCTGGTGAGTCAGCAGTCCAAATCCCAACTTGAAATCTCGACAAAGTGCTGAATAAAAGTGGCCTTGTTTCGCTGAGTGCGCACGGCGTCGAGCTGTTGTTTTAAAAGCCACCCCGCCCCCGTAGAAGCGCTGAATCATCACGAGCCGGCTGGCCGCCCGCTCGTCGTCCAGTCGGGACCGAGCGAGCGGGTCTGAGCGGTGATTCCACAATACGGACAAAGGGGGAGCACGATGTGCACGAGGTGACGGGCAACCTTGGAAAGAATAAGCCATGTGTCGGAATGAGAGGGGCGAGCTAGGGCACGTTGACAGCAAAGGTCGGCGGAAGTGTCGCCTGTCTGCTCGCCATTAGGCGTGTGTCGCAGCCTCTTAAGTGGGAAAGTCGGGGAATGTGCTAAGTAACAAGTCGGAAGACGGAGAGCGAGGAACTCGCCTCGCCGACTGTCCCCGCGCGGAGGTGCTGAAAGGGGCTGCATGGCCAGCGCTCGTTCGCAGGTACGCGACGCGTAGTCGCACACGCTCAGCTGTTTTGTATCCTACCCTCCTCCTGCTCGGTTTGACACTTTGAATTCAATTCGTGGTGGAAGCGAACGCAGTCTGTCAGCGATTAGCTTGAGAGAGCCACGGAGCGGCGCTCGCTGAATTGTGTATGTGCGCGCGCGCGTGTTGTTTTGACATTTGCTTTGTGCCCCCCGACGGGCCTTTTCTCCCACCCGGAGGAATGCTGAACGAAACGCAGTGGCGACACCTCTCCTTGTCTCGTTCGGTTCGCGCCTTCTGACACCGATTCGTGATTTAATGAAGGTTCACGGAGAGGTACCGAGGAGCCATGGCAACATGGCACCGGCGGGAGGCGGGCGGACAAAGGTCTAAGCGAGGGGAAAGCTCTCGCCTTCGATTGGGGGGCCTCGCAAACAAGTGCGCCCGCCCATCGCCATGAGGACTGTGAGGCTTATTTGCAGCAAGCGACATTCAGAACTATGAGTGATTTAATGTCAGTGTTTACCGACCTTTGTGAAGCCATGAAGGCGCATGTTTTACGTTTACATTTTTTGGGCACTACTAAACTATCATGGGATGAGGTGATCGGTTGCCAGCATAGAGAGCTGACCTCATTATTTTTGAGTAAATCAATTCAAATAGAGACAGTGATTCTCAAAGTGTGGTAGTGGTATGCGAAAGAATCCCTGAATTAAATGTACAAACTGGATAGAAATCTCATACGTTACACTTGTTAAATAATTTTTAGTTATGTTTAACTTAGAAGTCAAATAAATTTGCATTCAATCTTGAAGATGGTTTTTTTTTCAACATTTATTGAGATGCCTTTTTGAATTCATGTTTATGTGGACTACATTTCAATGTAGTCATTATTTGAGTCCAGTTTTGTGCAATATTAATGCTCAAAATGTGCAGCATGTTACAATGCCTTGCAATCATATGAAATTCTTAATAGGAGTAAAACTTGGTTTTGATGAACACTTGGGCCAAGCACGCCATAGTCTTTTAATGTCGGTAATAACGTTGCAGCACTTGTTGGTGCAAATTAATTTTTGAGGTTGTGTTTGGTGTAAAATGTTTCAGAACCACTGCATTAAGTGAAATAGATTGTTTCCCACAAGCTCCCA